TTCCCTGGATGGTGGGATGGCGTCTCCCCTGCCTCTCCTTTCTCCTTTCACTGTCTCCTTTGGATTTTCCCGCCTGGCTTCATCCTGCCCTGCCATAGGCCAATGCATCTTTATTTATCAACCAGTCAAAGCAACACATTCACAGCATACAGAAAGACATCCCACAGCAGACATGTATGCAGGTGAAACATCCATATACATGGGATTATCTCAAAGAGGGGAACGGATTCTGTTTACTCAAAGAATGGTTGGCATTTCCATGGAGCATCCAGCTTGCTTTTTTTGTTTGGTTGGTTGGTTTTTAGTTTTTTCAGACAGGGACTCACTATATCCTGGGCTGGCCTGGAACTCACTCAGTAGACCAGGCTGATCTCAGATCCACAGAGATCTTTCTGCCTCTGCCTCCCAGATACTGGCATTAAAGGCATGCACCACCACTGCCCGGCGTATCTAGCATTCTTTGGGGTGCAGTCTACTACCTTAAAGTGCTAGATAATGCGTAGGCTCTAATCTCAAACTGAAACCACCACCATCATCTCCCCTCTAACCCTGGGCCTCATTGAGAGTCTGTGTTCCTGAGATCTTAAGGGAGGGAAACAAGTGGAACAAAGCAGCGCATCAGTCCATTTGTATAACGTCCTTCCCTCAATTTCAGCCAACAGATACTGGTTGAACCAGGCAGTGGACTGGTAAACGAGAGATGCCCCTGCACTCTCAGCGCGCTGTGTCGGCAGTAGCCCTATGTCAATGAGCATATATTCTGCACTGTAATAGTGGGTACACTGGGCACTGTGAGGGGGCTTAGAGCTTTCTAAAAGTGTAAGGCTGAACCGAGTCTTACAGTTGGATAAGTTAGACAAAGCTTAAAAACAAGAATGTATCAGATGGAAGGAACAGCATGTAAAAATGTGGAGCTATAGTTTCCATATTGGGGAACAAGAAGTGATTTGGATTTTCTGAAGTGAAGGAGGTAGCTTGGAAAGGTAGACAAGAGGCAGGTCCATGGGAACATTGCTTCCTGAAATGAATGCAGTTCTCCCCAATGGTAAAAGTGGGAAAACTGCAAAATACAGTTTTGAAAGTTAATATGAAAGAGATTAAAACATTTCCCCAGCAAGTAACCTGGGCAGTTACTCCTAAAAGATGGTCTCTTACCAAGCCACAGTAGGATCGTGGTTAGCCTAAGCAGTCTGCCAGTAAGCTTTTTAAAACTCTCTGATCCCTGTGTAGCATGGTAGTAATACTAAAAAATCTCTGAGAATCCAATGTGGTTATCCTTAATTATAAAAAATCTCCATAAAGATTGAAACAGGAGGTGGAGATAGTGAAAGCATTGTTTTTTTTTTTTTTATTGTCGTGCATTCCCCATTGTGCTGAAGAGTTAGATAGTGTTCTATGTGCTTAACAAGTGTGAACAACTCTCTATGACAGCCCCGTGAGTGATGTGCACAGGAAATTAATCTGGATACTGTTTGCCCTGGAGTCACACAGCAAGCAGGTGTCAGAATTGGAAATCAGTTGTTCCGACCGTCAAGACTGCCGGCACTGTCTGCTGCCTTCGCCTAGAGTATCTGCTTCGCAGAATTATTCTAGAGCAGACATTTGGAGAACCCTGTAATTGTGTCACAGAGTGGTGGAGGGTTCCTGGCTTTGAACTGTTCATGAGGTCTAGACAGTAATCAATTGGTTTAGCCTGCTGACCTCAAGGGACTTCTCATGGCCTTCCATTGCTGTTGAGCTGTGACTGGAATAGCAATCTCAAGACAAATGTTCATGGACTCACTCAGCCATCTTAGAAAGCACTGCTGTAAATTAATTCTTTCTAGATGCTGTTTCCAGAGGTAGAGGTTGTAATTCTTTCACATAGAGTAGATCCCTAGTGCCTATTGTGAAAAACCTGTCAAGATGGTTCTGTTAAAAGCCTTTGCTTAAGAACCACTATCCCCTGGGGAGATAAGCATTATATTTTCTCTATTTTTAGTTTTATCACAAGTGCTTGGAGTATAGTGAACACCCATAAATCTTTAAACTGGCACATTGTGAGATCTGAATGCTTTATATTCAAGGATGATAGTAATAATAGTTATTAGTATTCATGAAACCCTCATTTGACCATTTCCCCAGTTTTCACTCGAAAGTGCCCTTTACAGAGCCAGGCACTGTCCCGAGATCTTCTTGAGGCCCTAATTTGAAGAAAGAGTTTCCTTTTCTCTAATTCTTCTGCTGAGAATCAGGTGAATTTGAGCATAGCTCTCTTCCAGAAGCCCACAGCTGGCTTAAGCCTCTGAAAGTGGTACTTCAGTGCACTGGAGAGTACTTTATGATCTCTTTCCTGACACTAGTTACCCTGCTCTAACCTACCAGGCTCGGTCTCTGTGAGAATCGGGCTGTGTGGTATAGGTCAGGACCTTGTGTGTGTGGAAATTAGAAGGTTAGAAGCACAGCTTACCAAGAAAGGAATTGAAGGAATTCTGAGAGATCAGAGAAACTGTATCAAGGAGGCACACCACATAATGATGGAGGAGGAAGCAGAAGGCTAGTTAAGTTCAGAGGATGAGTTGGTAAGAAAGGCAAGGACTGCACATTTCAGAAAGGAAACTAGCCACAGTTTTGGTGAAGAGGCGGGTGTGTAGTTTAGGTAGAAAAGAGGGGAGGGTGGGTGGGTCAGTGCCTCAGTCAACCCACATCAGAGAAGCTGCTTCTTGCAGTAGATGGGAGTTAACACACACCCACAACTAGACAATGTGCAGAGAGTGAGAGACTTCGGAGCACCCAGTCCTAAACGGGATATCTCCATCAAATCCTTCCCCTCCTCCTCTCAAGGATGAGGGATCCATGGGGAAGAGGAAGCAGAAAGATTGTGAGATCCAAAAGTGATGGATGAGTCCAAGCAAACAGTGTTCTCCAGACAGCAGGACTGATGAACGTACGAACTCACAGAGACTGTGGCAGCATGCACAAGACCTGCACAGTTCAAGCCAAATGGGGTCCCAGCACTCAGGGGAAAGTGGACCCGGAGTTCCATTCCTAACCAAGAGGTTATCTACAAAGGGAAAATCAGTTTTCTTCAGTGGAGTGTCGTTAGATAGATTAGCCTGTCTAGAGCAGGCCCATACCCAGGAGTACTCAGCGGACATGTAACTCTGGTATTTTTGTTTCATTTTGCTTTGTTTTGTTTTGGTTTTTTGACTAATTGGTCCTTTGCCTGTTTGCTTTGTTTTGATTGTAGTTTTTGTGGGGTTTTTGTGTTTCTTGGATTTTTTTTTTTTTTTTGGTTTCTTCCTTTTTTTTTCCCTTTTTTTTTTTGAGAGAGAGAAAGAACAAAGTTGGGTGGGTAGGGAAGTTAGGAGGAGTGGGGGAAGGGAAAATAAAATACATTATATGAAAAATTTCATTAAAATATGGAAAAGAGGAGAGGGAGAATAATGGTGCTAGATAAGCACTTTTTAGCTTTACTTTCTTATTTGTGTATTTGATTTGGTTTTTTGAGACAGGGTCTCTGTAGCACAGGCTGGCTTGAATGCTTAGCAGTCCTCCTGCATCAGCCTCCTGATGACCAATTTCTTCAACTCTTTAAGAGCAAAATGAGAAAGAAATAGGCTTTGTTAGCGATCGTAGATCTTGCTCAGAGGAACATTTTCTGCAGTGCTGGGAACATGGGCAGGAAGTCTCTGGCGGGAGCAAGCAGTGGGAGGCAGCGTCTTAGAGCGGCCCCTCTCTCTTCCCACCTCACATGCTCCAGAGCCTGCTGCAGCCAGGAGTCAGCCTGTCTCCTCGAATACACTAGTGGTAGGCCCCAAGTAAAGTGCCTGCAGCGGCTTATTTAGAGCAGCATGCGCACACCAGAGTAAACTGTAGTCCAGCAGTTGTAAGAAGAAACTCACTGCCCTGCTTGAAGGCTTTCCTCATAACCATCAAGTTCAGCACTTGAGCCCAATATGCGTTTGGATGGTAGGACCTGAGGAATAGGTTTTATCAAACCCATCTCTGGGAAAAGTTCTGAGGCACTGTGGCCTCTAGCTTTTGTGAAGGAAAAAAACATAATCAAGGCTGAATTGAAAATCAGACAGGTTTGAGTTTGAATCCTGGTACAGTCTTTATGACCTGCCCCTGGTTGTCCCTTTTCCTTTTAGTTTCCTTATCTATAAAACAAGAAAGGGAATGGTACCGACCTTGTTTAGAATAGTTATAAAGAAGAATAGAAATATCACCGGAAAGAGGGCTGGAGGAGGGTTTAGTCGGAAGACTGAATTCCATCCTCAGAGCCTCTATAGAAACTCAAGGTGTTGTGGCAAGTGCATGGCAAAGGTGGAGACAGGAGGATCCCTGGGCCGGCCTGGCCTAATTGGTGAGCTCTAGGCCAGTGGAAGATCCTGTGTCAAAGCAGGTAGATAGTGGTTTTAGTATGACACCCAGAGATTGCCCTCTGACCTCTGCACATTCATCTGCACATGTGTCCATGTGCGCACACACACACTCAGAATTTTAGAGTGGTTTTTTAAAGTTGAAAAGACACAATTGCAGAGATTATTCTTTGTCTAGAGCAGTGGTTCTCAACCCTTCTAATGCTGAGCCCTTTAATACAGTTCCTCATGCTGTGGTGACCCCCAGCCATGAAATGATTTCATTGCTACTTCAAAACTGTATTTTTGCTAGTTATGAGTCATAATTGAGTATCTGATGTGTAGGATGTCTGATAGACAGTCCCTGTGAAAGGGTCATTTGATCCCCAAAGGGGTTGTGACCCAAAGGTTGAGAACCACTGGTCTAGAGGGTATACCATAGACAGTCCTGAAGAAAGATTGCCTACAGGTGATCACAGTTATGTGTCAGTCAGTGAGTGAGGATGGATGTGCTTTGCAGAGATGGGCTGGTGTGTGTTGATCTGGAGGCCTGCACTGACTGAAATAGGAAGTAGATTTCTAGACACACACCTGTTCTCTTCCTCCTACCCGGCTCCTTATTGATGTCCACATTTTTCCATTTTGCTTTCCTGCCAGGTGGCTGTTAAAAACAATATTGATGTCTTCTACTTCAGTTGCCTCATCCCACTCAATGTGCTTTTTGTAGAAGATGGCAAAATGGGTAAGTGTGTCCTCCTGTCCTGCTAAATATACCTTTGGCCAGCGTCTGAATGGCAAGCATAACATAGCCCTAGAAGTACAGACCACTTTGGAATTTTAAAATGGGATTAGGATATTCTAAAGCCCTAATAAATAATTGATCATTGGTCATTTGTCAGTCACTGTTCTTACTCTGCCATCCCAAATCCCAGAGCCACTTACATGACTGATCCAGCTACTCCACACTCAGGTGAGAGGGTTGGGGACAGCTGTGAACTCAGTCTTTGCCGATTATTATCTGTGTGATTGTGGTAAGATGCTCAGCCTCTCTGTTTTGGTTTCTACCTTTGCAAAAAGTCATTTTTTTAATGAATTAGTATGTAAATTAGCACTGAGTCAACACTGAGTTCATACTAAGATAAGAATTCAGTAATTGGTAATAAACCATTAGTTTCCTGTCCTACCCCAAGGTAGCTATTAGCTTTTCCCTTTCCTTACTTAAGAAACCACCATCCAGCTGGGTGTGGTGGTGCACCCCTTTAATCCTAGCACTCAGAAGCAGAGACAGGTGGATCCCTGAGTTTGAGACCAGCCTGGTCTACAGAGGGAGTTCCAGGACAGCCAGGGCTGGCTACACAGAGAAACCCTGTCTGGAAAAAAGAAAGGGCACAAGATGTGCCCCAAATCACACAAGTAGGAATACAAAGAACCAAAACTAAACTTTTTTTTTTTTTTTTTTTTTCAAGACAGGGTTTCTCTGTGTAGCTTTGTGCCTTTCTTGGAACTCACTTTGGAGACCAGGCTGGCCTCGAACTCACAGAGATCTGCCTGCCTCTGCCTCCCGAGTGCTGGGATTAAAGGCGTGCACCACCATTACCCGTCTCAAAACTAAACTCTTAAATGCAAACTTTTTTTCCAGTGTATATTAGTTCAGTCAATAAGGGCCCAGTATACAGTACCTTTACATATCAAAAATTTTGCTCCAATCCAACCTGCTCCTAGCATGCCAAAGGAAAATTGGTGGAAGCATCAGGAAATAGAATACTGACATAACCCACCCTTCTCCCTTTCCCCATACAGAGCGCCAGGTCTTCCTTGCGACTTGGAAGGATATTCCCAATGAAAATGAACTTCAGTTTCAGATTAAGGAATGCCATTTAAATGCTGGTAAGTAATAACTCTTGATTTATTTTCTTCTTAGTAAGTCAAGTTAGATATTTAAATTTTTTCTTTCCTGTCTCCATCTCTTTCTACATTTAACATGATTCTGATGGGTTATATGTTAAATATATTACTTTGCAAATCTCTCTTAAATACTTGGCATGTTACCCAGACATGGTGGCACACACCTATAATCCAAGAACTCAGGAGGCTGAGGCAAGAGGATTACAAATTCCAGGCCAGTCTGGGCTACATAATGAGCCCATCTCTTTTTAAAAACACACACACGTACACACACATACACACGAGCAATATGTCCAGGCATGGCAGTGCATGTCTTTAATTCCAACACTTGAGTCAGAGGCAGGCTGAACTCTTGGGAGTTCAAAGCCAGCCTGGATGTATACATAGTGAGTCCCAGACCAGCCAGAGCTATACAGTGAGACCTTCTCTTCCAAAAAGGATGGAACCAGGATATTGTGATGTAAGGCATTAAATTACAAGCTATAAGAGCTACTATATTTAAAAGAAAGACACTAGCCCTAACTTACAGAAGTCTCTAGGTTTGCTCTCTCTAAGCACTGCAAAATGTAGAAAAATATGAAAGAAACAAACCATGAACCATATAACTGGCCCATGTACTCCACTAGTCCTTCAGTAGCATAAATAAATGTCAATCATGTTACTTAAATATCCTCAGCATCAAGTAATTAGAGTGGTACTTGAGGATAGCCACACTCCTCAGAATTGAAAGACTGTTTCATCTTTCGGATCAGTGTTTGGCATTGGAGGAAACTCTCTGAGAGCCTGTATTTAGAATTCTATTTATAAATAAAGCATGTATCACGGTTGATTAAAGCCTAGCCGCTAACCTTTACTGTTCTCCCTTTTGTCAACTTTCATATAATGATAATAACCTTTTCAATCACCGTTAATCCCTAAACCCTCTTGTAGTTAATTTTGTTGCTATAGTAAAATACAGAAAGAGGTAATCCAAGAGGAGAGAGACAACAGCAGCTGTCTGTCCCTAGGGCTTTGTTTCACTGAAATGCTTGCTCTTCCGAATACTGGCTGTTGTAGCAGCCTTCCTTCCCCTCCTGCTCAGCACCTTCCTCGTTTACCCCCTTCCTCCTCTGTACAGTGGTGGTCCTCCTCAGGTTCTCAGCGTCCTGCCATTCTCCATTGCTGTTGGAGCAGAGCAGTGGAGAAAGGAGGCGTATACAGCACAGAAAGAAGAAGAAGCAGCTCTCACTGCCTGTCATTCCAACTTTCCGGTTTGAATTTTAGGTTGTTGTATTTCTCTTCTGTGTTCAGACAGATCTTTGTGTGTAGGGCTTTTGAAATCCAGATATTATCAGCATCTTCCTGTGCTGGCTCTCAAATGTGCTGATCCAGTCTGGCCTCAGAGACATTCTGGAGGCTAAATACCTGCTTGAAGCCTCAGACATAAAAGACAACCTGGCATCCTTTCAGCATAGACACTTCAGACAGAGCTTGGCTGTGATAAGGGTTACCTCAAATCTCCTCTGCCCCTGGAGAGGGGTTTAAGGAGAGACTCTTACTGTTTTGTTTTGTGGGTTTTAGGTAGCTGACTGAAATTCACTGGTCAGTTACAGTGAACCAAATTTGGTGAGCACAGCAGCTTTCCACAGAAGGGACTATTTCTCAGGAAATAGGAAGCCTTCGATAGAGATTCCATGGTGCTGGTGGCAAAACCCAGAGTGTGCCCCATTAGACTCAGTCTCTGTACTCCATGCCACAGAGACTTGGCTCTGGGTTAACCACCACCCTGTGGCAGCTGGTCCAACATTGTATACTTGAGCACATCTGTCCCTTAATAAAAGGTGGGGAAGTTTCCCTTTAGGGATTAAAGTTAGAAAATGCAGCATATGGAATGCCTTTGTAGTCACACACTGAACGCTCTGTCTGACTCGGTGTTAAGGGAATGCTATTTTCTTGTAGCGCTGCAGATCACAGGTGCTTGTTGTTAATATCTGGTGGACCGCCACAGGTCCTTCCCTACAGAGAGCAGGAACTAGCCAGAGTAATTAGGAAGCAGTTTTGGTTTTAGGGGTCCTGTGGGAAAAGGGCAGGTATTTGCATGGGGAATTTGATGAACCAAGGACTTTAATCTGGCCTGCTAAAATACTAGAAAGAAAAGAATACATACTGCACCGAAGCTTGTGGCCTTTCTCTCAGGGAGGCCGTTTCTTCTGAGGTAGTCCTCACAACAGATTCGGTTTTGAAAACTGCCATGGCCTCATGCCAGTCCTTCTGTGTGTGTGTTCCAAATGCTATTGAACCAGTTTCCTGGTGACACACGCTGTGGCGGTGGGGCACGTGGAGCATAAAGGAAAACAGCCAGTTTGTCTTCTCCAGCTGCCCAAGACCATTCCCCATGCGGAATCACTGCTAATCTTGCAAGACCAATTTCTTCAGCTAATCCCTTCTTACTCTTCCTTGTCTCCACCCTGAAGTATGGAATGCCTTGGCCTTTACATTTCTTCCCAGTCTTGAGGACTCTATTAACAGGAGCCTTTGCAGGTTTGGTGCCTTCTGATTCAACACCCTATGTCTAGCTGAGAGCTAAAAATACCATCCTTTCCAGCTGATCTTCCCTAATCACAATAGCACCAACACTTAAAATAGATCTTCTGTGCTAGCAAAGACATTTGACAGATGGAACGAACACTCTGGGCTACAGGAAGTCACAGCCTTAAAGGACTCACCAACTTAGCAGTGAGCTTTTTTTCTATTTGTTCTCTGATCTCTTTCTAGAGAAGAAAGAAACCCTCCGTGGGTCTTAGTAATCAAACCTTAATAAAGATGTCTGTGGTGTGGGTGTTGATGGTATTGCTATTTGCTGTAAATACTAGAAAATTTTAGGTTAAAAAGGCACTAATGGACAAGACTCCTGTTTCCAAACAGCAAACATCTCTACAGGTGTCTTTTCCCCCCCTTTTTCTCTTCCCTTCCTTCCTTTCTTTCTTTCTTTCTTTCTTTCTTTCTTTCTTTCTTTCTTTTTCTTCCTCTTTCTTTCTTTCTCTTTCTTTCTTTCTTTCTTTCTTTCTTTCTTTTTCTCTCTCTCTCTCTCTCTCTCTCTCTCTCTCTCTCTCTCTCTCTCTCTCTCTCTTTCTTTCTTTCTTTCGAGACAGGGTCTCACTGTTCTCACTATGTACCCCTAACTGTCCTATAGACCAGGCTGTCTTCGAACTCACAGAAGTCCGCCTGCCTCTGCCTCCTGAGTGCTGAGATTAAAGGCATGTGCCACCACTGCCTAGCCATATTTTACCTTTTAGCTACATTTGGGATTATTATATATCTTGAGACACTACCTTAAGTGCCCAAGAGGAAGGTACATTTCCATCCATATCTAAAAAGGAGTACATGTGTTTTGCAAGCCTGTTTTTACTTGTTTACTATACTCAGGAAAGCTCAAACACCTGGTTTATATCTTCAGTTGTCTGGCACCGTGTAAAAAGAGCTATTTCTTTAGGCATGGGCACTGTGTGAGAATGAGTTAGATTTCTGTTTTATTGTGGCTTTCCCATACTTTGGAACACTTCAAAAAAGGAAACTTAACTGTAGTTTTTTTTCCCCAAATGATTTTTCCAGTCATTTTCAGCAGTCTTTTTCTGAAACATCCTTTTCAGATGAACAGTTTTGAATTTACTAATAATCAATTCCCCAAAGGGGCCCAAATGCAGATTTCCACCATCTACTTTGTATTCCTTCTTCATTCTTATGTTGACAAAAGTGTGACCTTAGCTAAAGAAGAAAGCTGAGAGAAGGAAGACCACACTCACACCTTCCAAGAGCCCAAACATCCAGACCTACAGAGTCAGATCTGTGGAAGAAAGAAAATGAACAAGAAGAAATCACATCTTGAAGCAAGAGTCCAGTCATGTTTGACCATTACCCTGCTTTGGGACAGATCTCAGTATCTTGTACCTGAGCTAGAATCATTTGTAGACACCGAAGCAGTTGACATTACACCCTCTTCTCACAATCTCACAACGTCCAGATTCTGTTGTGGAAGCCAGTAGTTCAAGTGTGTAAAGCCAATGTAATGTTTTAAGAAGTCTGTTCCAGTGTGGCTGGAAGCTGCCTCACATCTGGCTCTCACTACATCTTTTCCTGTCTCAGCCTCCTGGGTGGAGGTGGAGGTGGGCGTCACCAGCATTTGCCACCCTTGGTTGATGATAGGTACACTTAGCAGAGTAAATATCCTTCAGTCCTTAAATCCTCAAGCTCAAACCTAAGACTCCAGTGGTAGGTCCTTGTCTGATATATGCAAGGCACTGGGTTCAGGGTGTTGTACTTCAAAAATTAAATTTAAAAATCAGTGGGTATGGTGACTTGTATCTGTAGTCCCAGCACTAGGGAGGCAGGAATAAATCACTGCAGACTGGAAGCAAGCCTGACTTACACATCCTACGGTGTATAATGAACCCCCCAAACAAGCACACACCTTAAATAATAATAATATGGTTTAAATAAATAGATAAAAAATATAAAAGTTGATCATAAGTACTTAGTTATAGAACCCTCCTTCCATTCAGCCTTCTGATAGAAGTCACAGTACATGCATCCATTCAGCATGAGCAAGGCCCTGTTCCTTCCCTGACATCTGTTATACAAATGGCGAGATCACAAGAAGTCTGCAGGCATCTGGGCCTCGATACATGGATAAAATGAATGTAGGCCTATGCAACAAGACTGTTCAACAAAGGCACCTGCCTTTCTGGAACATACGCAAGCACCTTGAAAGTTAGGAAAAGCTTTTGCAACTTAAAGCAAGTCCCTGTGTGTTGAAGACAGTCCTTTCAAAAAGCATTAGCCAAACTCCAGCTGGAAATGTTGCTTAGCAACCCATTAAGTTGCAAGAGCACTTCACTGTAGGAACCAGAGTGACAGCAAGAGCTGTCTCCCCACTACTAGATGATTGCAGTTTATTGAGTCTCCCTCCTCCAGCAGGATTGCATAGAACTACCCTGAGATAGACTTTGGCTGGAATAAAGCCCCTTCCCTCCTTCCCTCCCTCCTTCTCTCTCTCTCTCTTTCTTTTTTTTATGGATATGAGTGTTTTGCCTGCATGTAAGTCTGCACCACATGTATGCCTGGTGACCTCAGATGCCCTAGACCAGTTGTTCTCAACATGTGGGTCACGACCCCTTTGGGAGTCAAATGACCCTTTCATAGGAGTGGCATATCAGATATCCTGCTTATCGGATATTTATATTAAAGTTCATAACAGTAGCAAAATTACAATTATAATGTAGCAACAAAATAAATGGTCGGGCGATAGTGGTGCATGCGTTTAATTTCAGCACTCAGGAGGCAGATGCAGGTAGATCTCTGAGTTAGAGGCCAGCTGGTCTACAGAGCTAGTTCTAGGACAGCCAGGGCTACACAAAGAAACCCTGACTCGAAAGTCAAAAAGAGAGAGAGAGAATTTTGTGGTTGGGGCCACCACAACATGAACTTTATTAAAGGGTTGCAGCATTAGGTAGGTTGAGAACCACTGTCCTAGACATTTGTGAGCTGGGGATGAATCCAGGTCACCTGGTAGAGCAGCTAGTGTTCTTTACCACTGAGCCTTCTCTCCAAACCCTAAAGTCATTTCTTAAGTTGTTACTACTTTTTTTTTTTTTTTTTTTTTTTTTTTTTTTTTGGTTTTTCGAGACAGGGTTTCTCTGTGCAGCTTTGCGCCTTTCCTGGGATTCACTTGGTAGCCCAGGCTGGCCTCGAACTCACAGAGATCCGCCTGGCTCTGCCTCCTGAGTGCTGGGATTAAAGGCGTGCGCCACCACCGCCCAGCTACTTTTTTTTATATTAGTGAAAACTTTATAAATAAAAGGCAAAAAGTTAAGTAATAACTGATAAAAATATGTAATGAATGAATGGCAGCCTTCGTGCTGCCATCCCTGAGCTACCTGACATCAGAGTGAGAAGTGCCTCTAGAAGCAGCTTCCATCTAAGCAGATGCTTTAACCCTGTAGCATCTTAGCACCTGAGTCAATACAAAATTCGAATACATATTTACAGATACTGGCAACGGGTACCTGTCATGTCCAGATGCTGAGAAAAGCCCGTGGTAAAAACATGAGGTTGCCTGTGCTGAGATCTAACCGTTCACTGTGGTAGAGGGCCACCATGCTTCCTTTTCCTAGAGACCACATCAGAATATAGCAGACCTTTTGTGAGAGAGTTTAGTTCCTGAACTAGGCTGAGTAACTTGAGTTTGTATCTGAAATTAACGTAATAAGCAGCTAACAAATTAGCTGTGTTTATCATCTCTCTCTCTCTCTCTTTTTTTTTTTTTTTTTTTTTTTTGAGACAGAGTTTCACTTTGTAGCCCTGCCTGTTCTAGAACTCACTCTGTAGACCAGGCTGGCCTCTAACTCAGAGATCCCTCCTGCCTCTGCCTCCCAAGTGCTGGCATTAAAGGCATGGCCTGCCACACCTGGCATATCCTCTCTATTCTTAAAAGTTTATCTGTCTCTGACTCCAATATCTCACATGGAAAAATGACCTTTAATTCTAGAACATTGTGTCTCTGTGCTATAGTCACGAGAACACACACCAACCTGCTCTTGCCCTGAGCTGGTGAGTGCAGAGGCATGGCCCTCGTGGTACCTGGGATGTGAGGATCTAACAGCAGTCATTCACACGGTGTTAGTCCTCCTCGGTGTCTTTAGTTAAAGAACTTCGTTTCCTTGTTTCTTTGAAAGCATGATTTTCTCTGGCTTCTAAAGAATTAATTTGCCTGCTTAAAAATAAATTTAAGTATCCAGTTTATTAAATCTAAGGTGAAAAGACTTGTGCAGCTCTGCCCTTTTCTAAACCTGGGAAACTGAGGCCCAAGTGGCTCAGAGTGAAGTAACAGTGACTTGGTAAGTGCAAGTAATCATCAGTGGAACCCCCTGGTTGGGGAGCAGTAACATCCACACTGCAGGATCTGTGAGGACTCTCACACCCAGAGCATTCGTACCTGTCTACCATTGTGATGCTTGATGTTGTCAATTTGACAAGGTTTAGCATCACCTGGGAGGCAAGCCTCTCGACACACCTGTGAGCAATTATCTAAATTAGGTTAGCCTCTAGATTAGTTCATTGAAGTGAGAAGATCCTCCCTAACTCTGTGTGTGTGTGTGTGTGTGTGTGTGTGTGTGTGTGTGTGTGTGTGTGTGTGTGACCATGCCTTGTGGTGGAGTCCTAGACTGAATAAAAAGGGCAAGCAAGAGAACACTAGCATTCATCTCCTGCTGACGGCGGCGGATGTGGATGTGGTGTTGACCAGCAGCCTCGGGCTCCTGCTGCCGGGACTCCCCACCATGATGAGCTGTGAACCTAAAAACCTTCCTTTCTTAGGTTGCTGTGGCCAGCGAAAGTTGTCAGAGCCATGAGAAAAGTAATTGCCATTAGTTCTTAGTTTGGTCTTAGTAAACCCTGAGTCTTTCTATTGTGTAATCTCCTTAGGCAACTCTTAAACAGTGTCGATGCACCTTATTCTGTTTGCTGCCTGATAATGTAACAGAGAGGCCCTTCATTCTGCCTGTCTGTATTAGCAGAGCGCCCTGAAATGTGTGTGATAGACTTCATCAGGGAACCCAGGCCTATGTGATGGCTCACAAGAATGTCAGAAAAGGAAATACATCCATCTGAGATTTTTACTGAAGTCTTTATGCTTTGGATCTCTATTTCTAGACACAGTTTCCAGCAAGCTGCAAAACAACAATGTTTACACGATTGCCAAGAGGAATGTGGAAGGGCAAGACATGCTGTACCAGTCCCTGAAGCTTACTAATGGCATTTGGATTTTGGCCGAGCTACGGATCCAGCCAGGAAACCCCAATTATACGGTAAGATCTTTCCCAGAATGTGTGAGATAGATTAGTAAGAAGGTAAGAACACATACATTTGTTCTTACTGCCCTACAGAGACCTGGAGGAAGTACTTCTGACCTGAGATACCCAAAACAAGCATTCAGTAAAGGAGTCCTTAGTTGCCTTCAGGGAAGACCTCCTCTCCTCACTGTAGGTCCTGACATTCAAAAGGCATGGTGCTGGGTAGATGAGGGTGGAGCATTTGCCTTTGACAATAAGGAGTTCTGCAAACCTATGGCTTCCCTGACACATAGTGATGTTTCCTCAGCATCAGTTTGGTACTATAATAGGCTGTTAAGAGGAGTGTTTCTAACTGGGCATTATGGTACACACCTTTAATCCCATCACTCAGGTAGTCAGAGGCAGGTGGATTGCTGTGAGTTTAAGGCCACCCTAAGCTTCATAGTGAGACCCTGTCAAACAAAAAAAAAGAAGAAGGAATGTTTCTGAAGCTGAGAGATGGCTTAGTGAGTAAAGGTGCTTGCTGTATAAACATGAGGACCCAGGTTCAGGTCCCCAGCGCCCCTATAAAAGCTGGGCATAACCACACATACTGTAAACTCACCATTGCACAACGGGGAGCCAGGAGGGACCCTGGAGCTTGCTGCCGAGCCAGCTTCGCACGCTCACACGTGAGTGCACATACACACACAAAATGGTGAGCTCCAAGTTCAGTGAGAGACCTGTGATGGAAAGGATAGAACAGGATGCCCAACACACTGACTTCTGTACATGGACACACACACACACACACACAAAGCAATTTCCTAGCTGACTTAAACTGGACCTTTGGAGTTCTTGGCCTTAAGAATGTCTAGACCTAGACACAACTACTGTCTCAAAGGCATGATTTGAACAGGTCACTAATAAATCATTCTTAACCATGGTTTCCTTAGCTTGGAGGGAAGTCTCCAGCCTGCAGGCTTCCACTTTAGCTGGAGGAACCTCCTCAAGTATCCCACTGAACTGAAGTCAAGTTCTGGAATGGCTTCTACAGCAGAAACCATTGCCTTGCCAAACCGCAGAGACTGGTCCTGCAGCCCTGAGCTCTGGTGCTGATGTAAAATGTGACCTCCCGGTAGGTAGGGACCACTTGTGACCTGCACTGAGAAGGTAGTGCAGCAAACCTTGAGATGGGGAAATGTCTTACTCTCCTGTTAGACTGTCTTGAAAGATGTGACGGGGCAGAAGATTCAGTACTCACTAGTTCCGAGGCAGGTGAAAAGTCAGACTCGGAGCCTGTTATTCTCCTGACCCATCCCTTCATGTTGACAGCTGTTGTTTATACTAGCGTACATCAAAGGAATAGTACCACCCCAGACAGACGTTCTCAGTGTTTCCCTGGTGTTCGCTGGACTGCCATGTGTGTGCCTGCTGCTGAGTCCTGTCAACTTGGGCTTTCCCAGTGAGCATCTGTGAGCTTTCCCTGGGAGGTAGATACTCCTCCCTTCCATCTCTGCTACCATCTCTTAATCTGCTTCGTTTTGTTGTTTGTTTTAGGTTTTTCTGAGATGAGACAGGGTCTCATAATGTAGCCCTAGCTATCCTAGAATACAGTATATATATCAGGCTGGCCTCAAACTCACAAAAATCTACCTGTCTCTGCCTCCCAAGTACTGAAACTAAAGGGAGTTCTGGGATTAAAGGTATGTGCCACCAAGCCAGGCTCATCTCTTACTTTTTCAGAGTGATAATCTACCCTATCATTTATCTTAAATACCCAGGACAAGAAAACCTTCTGTCCTCTTCCTAGGTCAAGGTCTTGCTATACAATTCAGGGCTTGTAAAATAGCTCCATTTATTTACTTCTCTAGACATTTGCTCAAAGTCTGTGTGCATGTTTCTTTTTAACTCACCTTCCTTAGTGTGTACATTGTTCCATCTTGGCTAAATTAAAGAAGCGTATTAGTCCCAGGTTGTAGACCAAGAAAGCTGGATAAGAGTCATCAGAGAGGGGCAGGTGAGGTGACTCAGTAGGTAAAGTCACTCGCCACCAAGCTTGATAATCTGTTCAGTTCCTAGACCTCCATGGTGAAAGGCAAGAACTAGCTCCCACCAATTGTCCTCTGACCACCACAAGTACTGTGGCAAATGCACACACCAATAAATATAAAATTTTAAGAATAATTAGTGACACTAGACCCTGGTGGTACAGACCTGTGATCCCAGCTGTGTGAGAGGCTCAGGCAGGAAGATCATAAATTCAGGGCCAGACTAGGCAACCCAGAGACTGTCTGTTTCAAAGGAAAAAGGAAAAATAGGGCTGGGGCGTATCACTCAATGGCAGAACACCTGTCAGCTGGGATAGGACCTAGGTTCAGGATAGGACCTAGGATAGGACCCTGGTACCAGAAATGGGGAAAAAAGATTTGTTCAAAAGCATGTGATCTTTTTTTTTTAAACAGACAAATGATATTTAAGGTTCAGGTGTTTGTTGACAGTTCCTAAAGCACATTGTTTGAGAAGGGCTGTTCACTCTCTTAGATATAACTAACACTTTAAAACATACTTTATTTTGAAATAATTGAGAACTCCATGGTTTTTAATGGGACTTTTTCTTTTAGCTCAGTTTTTTATATTGATAATATCTTACACATAATATACTTTGAAAACTAGAAAATAACTACCATAACTGTAGACATAAATGAGATTGTACATTATATATACTCTTTTGGGATGCAAAAGAGTGACTTGTTTTTTCTGTGTGGGAGAAGTCTTTTGTGTTTTTTGTTGTTGTTGGGGTATCGTTTGTTTGTTTTTGAGACAAAGTTTCACTTTATAGCCCTAACTGATCTGGAATTCACTATATAAGCCAAGCAGGCCTCAAACTCAGAGATCAGCTGCCTCTGCCTCCCAGGTGCTGGAATGTAACCCTAGCCTTGGCAGACACTCATTGGTTGTCCTACAATGATTGTGTCATTTTGAGAATATTGCGGACAATAAATCATACATCACGTAGCCTCTCTTTTACATGTCATCTGTGTGTGGTATGTGCATGTTTATTCTTGTGTGCCAGGGCACCTGTGTGTCTCAGTCGTGTTCTGTTGCTGTGAAGAGACGACATGACCACGGCAACTCTTATAAAGGAAAGTACTTAACTGAGTCTGGTATTAGAGAAGGAGCTGAGAGTTCTACATCTGGATCCACAGGCAGCAGAAAGAGAAATAGAGACACTTGGACATTTGAAACACCAAAGCCCAACCCCAGTGACACACCTCCTCCAACAAGGCCACACTTACTCTATCAAGGCCACATGTCCTAATCCCTATCAAGTAGTGCCACTCCCTAATGACCAAACATTCAAATATATGAGCCTAGGGGGCCATTACTATTCAAACCACCACATATAGGTGTTTGTATATATGTGTGGAAGCCTGAGTCTGACATTGGGAGTCTTCCTCTGTCACTCTTCGCCTTACTCATTGAAGACAGCGCCTCTCAATTGAACCCAGAGCTCACCAGTGCAACTAGTCCAACTTACACTGGTATTGCAGACAGGTAAGCATGAGTGCTCAGCATGTATGTGGGTGATGAGAATCCAAATTCTGGTCCTATTGCTTACACTGAACCCTTATATAATCTATTTGAGGTTATTTTTTTGTATGTTCCATAATATCCTTGGCTTCTACTAGTTGCTAATGTGTACCAGTAGTTTGCTTTTTGTGTGATCATCTGCTAGTCAACTCTATGCATCAACCATGGATTCCTAAATCATGAAGTGAAAGATATTTTCTCCTCTATATTCTTTTAAAATTTGAGATATTTGTAAGCTGGACGGTGGTGGTACTGCCTTCAATCCCAACACTTCAGAGACGGAGGCAGGTGGATCTCTGTGAGTTCAAGGCCAGGTTGGTCTACAGAGTGAATTCCAGGACAGCCAGGGATACACACAGAAGCCCTGTCTTGAAAACAAATAACAAAAAAAAAAAAAAAAAAAAAATGAGATATTTGTAGATTGACAAACAGCTATTGGAAGTAATATGGTGAGCTCTTCCCGTGAGTGAACTAAGGAGATCTTAAATGATCTCTATTCACTTGACCCAGAAAGCACAAGCATGGGAATCAAGACATTCAGGTCTCCTTCACATTCACTTTAAGAACACCTGGGAGTTTTCAGGCCATCAAAAGCACACACAGATCCAAAAGCCACCAAGTACCTCACGGTAACACTTTACAGAAGAGTGTGAGTCTTTTCATCTTGCAGTGATGGAGTTGGTAGGTATGCCTAGACCAGAGTATGCTGGACACAGGGTTGGATTGCCAAAGTTTTGTTGCATATTAAAGATGCAGAGTAGATAAGTAAGGGTGTGGATTCGAATTGTGTGGTCACCTGGCACTTCCGTTGAACACAGCACAAAGATCAGTCACCCTCCTGCAGAGCTCATGGTGAGGTTAACCCATGTATGAGCTCGAACACCACATTGAGATGATCCTTAAGGAAAAGTAACACATTATCCCTAAAACAGAAGAATACACAGAAGAAAAAAAATATCCCTGAAGAAACAAAAATGTATTGCTAGTCTTTTCCTCCCTCAGGCTACCAAAGATCCTGAAGTCATCATGATCTGCCACCGCACCCGGTGTTAATGGTTTGATGAGAACAAGTATCTTAGTTTAGGGTTTCTCCTGCTGTGAAGAGACATCATCACGACCATGGCAACTCTTATAAAGGAAAATATTTCATTGGGGCTGGCTTACAGTTTCAGAGGTTCAGTCCTTTATCGTCATGGTGAGAAGCATGGCGGCATGCAGGCAGACGTGGTGGAGAAGGAGCTGAGAGTTCTACATCCAGATCCATGGGCAGTAGGAAGAGAGACACTGACTTGAGCATTTGAATTGCCAAAATCCATCCCCAGTGACAGATTTCCTCCACAAAGCTACACCTCCTAATAGTGCCACTCCCTTTGAGCCTATAGGGGCCATTTTCATTCAGACCACCACAACAAAGCCTCACTTCTGCCAAAGCATCCCTGATG